CACGCCTCCGTCGGCCAGTTGGCCCCCTTGCCCTGGGAGTCCCGACTCGCACGTGGATGTCCGCGTCGCTTTCGTCCCGGCGAGGCCAGTTGGCGGCCTTGGTAGCCACCGGGTATACTTACCTCTATACTAACCGTAGTTGCCAGTTAGCCTTATTTTCACCAACCGGCGGCTACCGCGGCCGTCAACCGCCGCGCAGTTCGGCGCTCAGGTCCTTTCTCAGTTGAATCGAATTGAATTGAATTTTTCATACACGCATATGTCAGCCAGCTGGCCGAGTGGCGGCAGGTCCCAGTCCGGCTGGCGGGCCTCCAGCCGGGGTATCAGGCTATCTGTACTGTATATACACAAAGCAAATAACAGAGTAATTAAGAATTGGCCAGTTGGCCTCCTCTTTTATCTCCATAGATTTCTGACCCTCACCTAGAATCCCACGTAGATTCCCTCCCTGCGTAGCGAATTGGCGGCGTTGGTGGTCGCCGGGCATACTTTACCTCTATACTTACCTGCGGCGTGTTTTCCCCTACCGGCGGCCGCCGCAGTCACCAGTTCGCCGCACAGTTCGGCGCCCAGGTCCTTTCTTAGTGTTCATTCAGCGCTTGGCCCGAATGCCTCCGGGTCTTATGGTCTCGATATGACGAATAAAAGCTAGCTGGCCGAAGGAAGCCAGTTGGTCACCCCTTGGCCGGTTAGCTTCAGCCGGTTGGCTTCAGGGTGGCCGGGTGGTTGGCCTTCCTTACCAAGCTGTACCTCGTTGCGGCCAGTTGGCTGCCTCGGCGGTTTGGTCAGAGAAACCGGTTGGCCTGCGAGCGGGCCGGCAGTCTCGGGCCTGCTCGCAGGCCTCCGACTAATTGATTGATTGATTGATTAATTCATATACGCATATGTCAGCCCTAATAGCCGAGTGGCGGCAGGTCCCAGTCCCACGGGTGGGCAAGCCGTAGGGGCGTTAAAATTATACACAAATAGAAGTCTTGACCAGTTGGCCGTTCTTTTTCCTTTCAAATTTCAACCCTACGTAGTTCTTTGTAGACGTCTCACGTAGCTTTTCTCCCTGCGTAGCGAACTGGTGGCGTTTGGTGGCCTCCGGGTATACCTACCTCTATACTTATTGTGCCAATTGGTCTTCTCAAGTATCGACCGGCGGCCACCGCAGCCTCCGGCCGCTGTACAGTTCAGAGCCCAGGTCCGTTGTCAGTATTCCTTACCAGTTGGCCCGAAGGCCTCTGGATCTCATGGCCTCGATATAACAAATAAAAGCTTGCTGTCGAAGAAAGCCAATTAGCTACAAGTTAGACAAGTAGCCGGGTGGCACACGGATTGGCTGGCAGTTGGCAGCCTTCTCGTATATAGGGCGGTCACGTCTCGGTGGACGTAGCATTAAGAACAATGTCGGTTAGGCTCTGGAAATAACCCAGAAGCCTTGTATGCAGTATAAAGCGGATTGTTTACCTCACCGTCTTCTCCCCGAAGAGACGCCGGAAGTCAGTAAGTCTTTCCTTAGCCCAGAGGGTGCTCCAACGAAGGGAGTCATATCTCGGGCACTCGATAAGGACGTGTTTAACCGATTAGGGCCCCTACCCGCAGGGGCATGCGGTCGATTCGGCGGCTCCGATAGTTCCCAGGTATACACCCAGGATAATTTTGCCAGTTAGCATCTGGACCAGCACCGAGAACCATGCCCGGTGCAGGCCCGCGTGCAGACTGAGGGCACGCTTGCCCTCCACCGCGTCGGTAAGAATACGGCGAGTGTGGAAGCCGTGTGGGTTGCCGGCCCAGTTGGCCTTCCATTGCCGGTTGGCTAAATCCCGAAGCCGTTGCCGTACGGCGGAGACTAGCATGGAGAATACCATTTGGCCGGCGGCCCGAGCAGCCGCTGCCTTGATACTTTAGTCTACCAGTTCGTTGCCCGGCACACCCTCGTGGGCCGGGAGCCACTGGAGGCGCACCTGCCAGCCGGCCTCCCGCATGCGGTCGAGCCGGTTGACTACCCGTTTGATGACTGCCTGCCCCGATTGGCGCCGGGGCTCGGTGCAAGCCCTTATAGCTGCCTGGTTGTCGGTAAGAATTACTACCGACTTAGGCTTGGGGGTAGCTAGGATCGACACCACCCGGGGAACGGCGTCCCTGTGGGTGGGCGTATCAGGCTCTCATTTAGCAAGAGCTAGGGCGAGTTCTATACCAGTTAATTCCGCAGAGTATACTGTGTGGGTGTTCTCTCGGCCAACCGGCATGATTCGGTTCTTATTGCGGATCACTACTGCAGCGCCGATGCTACCGTAGTGGCCGCTGCCGTCGGTATACGCGGGGAGGACAGTAGGGGGTAGGAGGGCATGTCTTCAGAGAGCTTCCTTCCTGGAGTCAGCGATATTAATAGCAGGGGGCTGCCACCACGGCGGAACCAGTACCGGTTCGATGGTTTCGATAGGCACCGGTACGCCCGGGTCAAGCCCGAGATCTCGGGCCAGCCGGCGTTCCAGGCGGTTCAGCGGTGATATGGCTGGGTCGGTCTCCGGGCCACCGGGACGGCATCTGCCGGAGTAGGCCCGTCAGATCGGGAGTAGGGCTCGGTAGTAGAACGGCAATACTATAACCCGGAGGCAGGCGTCCTCGGTGGCTCTTTTAATCAGAATCTACGGCGGTGGGATGTTGAGTATACCTTAAGAACAGTCCTGGCGGTAGTACGAAAGTTCTCTACCACGCGGTATAGGACTTTATGTTGAATACTCTCGAAGTACTTTATAATATCGGTGGCGGTCTTCTGAAAGCCCCGGATACCCCGGATAAACCAGATAGAGCATCCGAAGAGCAACCGGAGAAGAAAAACAGCGGTATATATACGGCGTAGGTTGGCGATTGGTACGCCCCAGGTGGAGCCTGCAATTGATTAGAGCGCGGCCGTCAGTCGGGTGGCTTTAGTCTCCAGTTGGACAAAATAGGCGGTTCCGGTGAGTTCAGGATCGAGAAAAACCCCTAGATAGCAAAAGCTCTGCGTCGGTTTAATTATCGTGTCTGCGATAGTCAGGGGCTCGCTTAATCGCATGGCCGAGAACACCCCTGTACGGGGCAGCACCCGGACCATATTAATAAGACCGTACTTCGAAGATAAGAATACTAAGATATGCTGGCGCTGCTAAACTTCCGCGTAGCGGTAAAGTCTCTGCAGACGGGCGTAGTTCTCGAGAATAGTGTCTTCCTATATCAGCATGCAGAGCCAGATTAGACAGCCCGTCGGGACCGGGAGTCTTTCTGAATACGGCTTACCGAATTGTGCGGTATATCTCGTCTAGAGTCACCCAGGGTGCTATATACGGCTCGGAGTATTTATAGCCGTCGATATCGGCAAGATCCACCGTGCCGACGGCTGGAGATAGAACCTGTCGATAAAGCTCGGCTTTAGCCTCGGGCTTCTCTACCAATTTCCCGGTTGGCGACTGCAGTACGGGTATAAATATAAACCTCGGGTCCCCGCGCGTACAGGCCCAGCGGGCCAGTTTCCAAAATCCCTTAATAGAGCGCCCCTCATCTTCTACCCTCTCTCGATGCATCTGTCTCTTCTGTTTGGCGGTTTGTCGATATAGCGCGTTGCAGGCTCGGCTGTAGGCCTTACAGTCTGCTTAGCAGTCGGACTTAGCCCACCGCTTTACTTACTGTACGCGGTGCTTTAATTCCTTCATTTCCTCCGTATAGCCGGGCCTGGAGTACCCGGTAATAGTCTGCTTTGGCATAGCGGTTTCAGCGGCGGCAGTTAGAACCTCAACAAGATCCTCTACCGCTTCATTAATAGTAACCGGTCTAACCAATTAGCCGACTACCGGCCATAGCTGTAGTCGTTTGGCCAGTACGCTTCTGTAGACTTGCTAGTCGGTATTAGTCCAGTCCCAACACTTCACCGCAGGAGCGGGCGCCGGGCTGAAATCCAGCACCATACATATCGGTATATGGTCTACTTTAATTTACTAGTCTTCCTGGGGGGAGCAGTAGCTGAGACATTCTCCAAGCCGCTGCGTAGCCTATATCAGATCGATAGTAGTACGGGCGTCGCCCTTCTCGTATATGACCGCTCTCTCCGGCAGGAGCAGTCCCAGATCCTTATCGATAGTAATATCGAGCAGCCGGCTGGCTGCGTCGTCAGTATAGATATACCCCGGCAGATTCTATAGCAGATAATACAGATTAAAATCGCCGAGAACCATATACTCCCCCGGTTCCTGCAGGGCCGCAGTAAGCAGTTCAAGCACCGGATTCTCTTTCTCCTCACGGAGGTCCTCGTCTTCGGGCTCGGGCGTCGGCTCGGGCTTGTTGGTTTCGCGTTGGTCACTGCTCTTACCGGGCCGATATACATTATAAATATGAACGCGGTCTTTCCCCGGGACCTGCAGCGTAAGAATACTAAGAAATCTCAATCGGTACCGGACCGCCTACATTTTTAAATCAATATACCTACTTATAAAGAAGCAGACCCGCGGGACAAGCTCTGCGTTTAATATCGGCTTTATAACCAGATAGAAGCGCTCTTCCAGGGCCTAAAAATACGTGGTTAACTGGCTGCCGTAGCGGTTTATCCAGAGCTCTTAAATAGCAATAAGCCCTACATTCCGCACCCCCTCCTCACCGAAAAAAATACATTATAACGGTGTTAGATTTCCAACAGTTCGCCTATACAATTTCAAGTCGTCTACGGTGACTATTTATATCGGACGGCTATAGCATAATCGGTAGCATCCGGGGCAAGAACACCAAGCTTATTGTTACTGCTCTCATCCGAAACGGTAAACTAGTTACAGCGTTGGCTGCGGTATCGGGTCACAGACTTGGTTATATACAAGATATTATCGAGGCTGAGAACCGACGCAGTTTCAGTTGGCGCCAGTACACCCACGGAAGAACTACAGCTACGGATATCAACCTCTATAATTTCTCGATCATCCTCCTCATAGCAGTACTTCAGCTGCTTACCGCGGTCGGTATTAATCACAGCATCGGCCTCCACAGCCGGAACCAGTACGGTTTCCGGCTTCTTTACAGTCGATTTCCGGCAGCTCTTGCTAAAAGCCACCATTACCTTAAACTTCATCGAGCGGCCGCAGGCGTGTTACAATTAGACGAGCTCGGGGCTTACCTCGGGCTCGGAGGCGGTTCGGGCGATGGTATCGCTGTTGCTAAAAAAAAGTTCAGTATACAGCACAGGAGCGTTCAGCCGATGCTACCGAATAGCCTCTAGTCAATTCTTCTTTCTTATATAAATATAGTTAAAGGCGAGATACTTCAACCCGCAGTTCGCGCATCGAGCATATATCTTGTCGTTCTTAAATATACAATTTATAGATTCGTGCAAGCCCGCGCAGTACGCACAGACCCGGTTTCTCCGATAGTACTGCTTAATATAGTCATATTCTTAGTATCCAAAGCACTGCAAGAGCTGCTGATCGCGGTCGTAGTAGCTGGTATCAAAGTACTTACCGTCGAGCACAAAGCCCCCGCTGAGGAGGACGTTTACCGTATTCAGACTATCCAGTTCGACCATCAGCGTAGAGGGCTTGCCCTTCTCGGTAATAGTCTTCCACAGCCGCACCCAGCCGAGATATGTAATCTCGGTGGGCGTTGCGGCCAGGCGGCTGGCGTTGGCAATCCTAATCCTCTCGGCCAAGGCCTTCTGTTGCTTCGCGGGGTCCCCGTGCTGACACGGCCGATATCCATGCCGTACACAGCGATCGAGTAGCCGCGTCGCTTGATCACCGCGTTCGGGCTAAGGACCTTGTTGTGTTTGTTGTAGTAGGAGCAGCGGTGTTTCTTACCGTCCAGCGCCAGACCATACATTATGGCAGCCCCCGCGGCGCGGTCACTGTTGAATTCCACCACCAGCTTGGATCGCGGGGTTTCCTTGGCCTTGCGGGAAGCCAGCCCACCCAGGTGATCTTGGCGGGCGTAGCAGCAAGCCGGCCGGTGTGAGGCTATGAAAAGGAGATGATTCAGCCAGGCAAGAATTCTATTCTTGGGAAAAAAGAGAAGAGGAAGGCCCGCAGGGCCTTGACTCTGGACCATGCGCATATATAGGGCCACAGGTGCCTCATGCATAAATGACTTGTTACATGACAGGCCGTCAAGGCTCCTGTCAATTAATGACCGCACCCAGCGATGTGGCTCAGACAGACAATCAGACTAGGACTTGAAGACTTCCTCGAAGGGAAGCAAACCGAAGATCCATACAAACATACCAAACATGACGCGTTCAGATATGGGCAGCAGGAATTATAATAAGTGTTGTTATCCATGGTCAAACTTGTTTTGGCGAAGGGGTCGCGGCGTTCTCAGTGCTAAGATTACGCCACGACCAGCTAGAGCTTATCGTCATTCTTTGACACGGCTGTCCACGCCGTTCAAATTTCCTGATCAGATAATGACAAGGGTGTTGCTCTAGAACGGTCCTAAAGAGATCGATATTCCTTGTCTCGAGAGCGAAGTCATTAACACAAAAGGTGACTACAAAGACAAACAAAGGCAAGAAAAGGCAAGCAAGGTAACCCTCTTTCATCTTTAATTGTCATCTGTCTCGAATGTTGACATCATTTATCTCAAACTCAATTCCGCACGAAGGCAATTCACGTCCTTTCAACATACGACCGATCCACTGACATAGGCAGCGGCACGGCATGTATATAAGACCGAGCGAGCCCCCTGTCCCTTACCGTTGTATCATGGACGATGAAACCTCACCTGCGGCTGACTTCGAATGGGCGACCCTCGAGCCGCGCCTGGCCGAGTCATTTCGACTGCTCCGAGAACGCTTTCCGGAAGCCCCTCCCTTATACGGCTTCTGCCGCGCGGGATCTCTGGTTCAGTGCTACCGAGTGCTCTTGCCCGACGAGAGCCTGGACGATGATACCCTGGTCTTTGGGATGGCTCAATGCTACGATGACACCAATACGAAGGAGGAGCCGTTCTCTACCTTCGACTTGAAGTTTGACGACAACAGCTTGCACCAATGGACTCGGCGGTGGGTGCCTTATAATAAGGCGCCCCCTGTTTCCACCCAGCGTCGAAGGAGACTCCGAGCTTGTCCCCGGGGTGACGATCAGGGTGGAGTTTTTGCCGTGGCATTGGTAGGCCCAGGTGATCCCCTAGTTCAATCTTTAAGGTGGCAGTCCTATCAATGCTTACGCATGGACGGAATCTGTCCTATTAATCTATACTTAACAATAAATCACAGATGATACTGTGCTCCCTGTGAAAAGTCTAACCGTTGCCTAGTTTTACCAGAAATGTTTCTCTTTTTCTCGATGCTTATTAAATTCGTCTCTTTCAGAAACGCCCTTGGGGACGTGGAGTACCGTTAGACCGTCATATATGCCCAGGGTAAAGCGCTGAAATCTAAGACTGATCCGGAATACCATTAACGTGAGAGAGGGAGTCTATCATTGTAACCCTAAGTGCAGAATGCTCATCGTGCCCACAGCACGTCAAAACACTTTGACCTCTGCCAGTCCCACGTTGCCCGTTGTGGAGCTCACGGAAGTGACTCTAACTGTCAGAGCGTGGACTGACCTCTGCTCGAAGTTCACGCGATTCGGTTCACCATAGTTGGAGAGGGCAGCAAAGACAGTACTGCTGCCATCATCGAACTCCACCACACCCCCCGTGACTTGGTCTAACGTGTTCGGTCGATCGAACAGGTAAACCTGGGAGATCGTGTGCGGCGAGTCCCACTCCAGCCTCCACCAGCTGCCTTCCCTCCCACCCACCGTGGCCCAGTCCATCAACGTATCCCCAGGATACCCCCCAACCCGGCCATCAACTGCCTTAGCAGCCGACTGGCCACCTGCAGCATTCTCCGACGAAGCCGTGACATTGCTCGCTCGTGGTGCAACATCCTCCCCCGGTATCACAAACAAGCTCACGCGTGCTGGCGTACTTTCCACGCCCCCATCACCGATCACCACCAGTTCAAACCCTAACCTCTCGCCAACCTGTACCCCTGCCACCGTGACCGTGGCCTTCGGGCTCTCAGCATCCTCCACTTGCACCTGTACCCCCTCCACCTGCTTCCAACGATACTGCAACGCCCCGTTACTCTCCTCCCCGGTCAACTCAACTGTGTCGCCAGCCCTCACAAATCCCCAGCGTCCTCCAAACCCTCCATCCCCATTTTCCTTGGCCACAACCTGCGCACTAGCAACCATTGTCCCCGGACTCGAGGACACAACAATCTGCCTCGCCAACCACCCCTCTTCATTGCCTCCCTTACACCCCCCATCGTCCCGACAAGTCCGCCAATCACTCAAGGCATACGTATAGAATACCAACTGCTTCTCCACCAACTCCGCGCCCCGCACATTCCCACTCTGCGGCAGCGCGTCCAGCACCGGATATCCCATATACCCGACCACCTCCGTATTCCACTTCCCCTTGGCCGCGCAGTCCTGCGCGGCTGCTTGCGCGAATCGGGCAGTCGCGAGATGGTCGCTGTGATCCGACCATGAACCACCTCCCGAGGGGCTGGTTGCATCGAAGTCCCGAGTGAAGTCGAGGGTGTTCACGCGGACAGGGTTGAAGGAGGCGATGGCCGCGCTAAGAGTCGAGAGCAGGGTGTCTCTTGTATATGTGCTTTCTTGAGCAGGGTTTAGGCTAGAGATGGACGGGATCTTCTCTTGCCAGAGCTGTTGGAGGCTTACGTTGCCCGTGGTGGGGAAACCTTCGCCGTGCAGATTGCCGTCGGGGAGTTGAAGGAAGGCGAGGGAGATGGATGGGTTTGCGGTGAGCGTGTATAACGGGATTGCGTGAATGGTGTCAGGGACGGAAAGAGTAGACTCGGTCCATGTGTTGGGGGCGTTGGCCATGCGCGCGTAGGCGGCCAGAGAACCGGCTTGACGCGATGTCCAGTAGGAGGATGTGTCCCCGGCATCGCCGGCCGTGAGGTAGATTGTACGTGTTGGGGTGGAAAGCGTCGTTAATTGGATGTTGTGCAGAAGGTCTGGCGAGAGGAAGAGAAGGTCGTCATCTTGGTGGGCTACAATGTTGAGGGTCTGAGATGTGGTGAGAGGAATGAGGAGGGTCAGCGGCAGCGTCAGGGTCGATAATGCGCGTAGATGCATATTCGCAGTGGGATGATTGTTGTATGCCAGAGGCTGTGTGGAGTGGTGAGGTTCTTATAGCTTGTGTGTCTGAGTTGTGTTTTGTTTTGGTGGTAGCATTCCTCGCATAAGCTGTCGATCGCCGGAATGTTGGATCGTCCAGCATGAGATCATAGCAGAAGACCGGGGGCAACTTTATGGTTAATATCGGTGGGACTGACTTGGAACAAAGTGGTGTATGGAAGTTTCGCTAGGATTTGTCCCAGTCAATGTCCGCAGGTATTTCTTCTTGACTATGTTTGCCATGGTTGCTATATTCGAAGTATACACCCAAGAAGAAACCCTTCCTTTGATAGGCTCCGTTGCACGATGAGAACAGGGGGAGAGCAAATAGCATGTCACGGTTGATCTATGTACAGTCTGGTACTGAGGCTGAATATACCTTCAAATTTCTTTGTACCTCAAACAGGGATGATTCTACCCAAGCTCAACCGCCACGATTACCACTCTCAAACACACCGACCCGCCCCACATTCACAAATTTGATACTACTTGGTCTCATGTTGTGCCTGTGCCCTAAGCGTTACACAGCTGGATGAAGGGCTGCTGGGCTTCTTCTACCAACAGATCCGCGAATTGTCTCCAAGCATTTCATTTAACCTTCTCCCAGACGCCACGCAATCACATTATTATGGTTTCTTCAAGGTGGTTCGTGGGCCACCGGCTGGCAATCCTGAGCCTGCTCGCACCAGTTGCAGTGCAGTGGGTCTCGGATAACATTTCGATTTAAGACGTGTGGATGCTTTTTCTTGCTGAAGCTCTGGCGCTTCCCTGTTGATACAATCCGTAGAGCTGGGAAGTTTACTCCATGGCCGTACATTTGTGGCGAGGTACATCAAGGTGAGGAATAAACAGGACCGACATGCAGAAGCTGGTCGGATGATGGCTGATTCTTAGAATTGAAGGTTTCTTCAAAGAACTGATGTGCTGGCTGTGTAAAGTCGTGCGGAATCTTATGCTTATAGCAGGGGACAGGGGAGACCTACGAATGTCACGTGATAGATACCGATAACGCCTTATCGTTGTAGGCGTAAGGCAGTACGCGCAGCTTGATAAGCGCAACAGAACGCCATCATTGCACAACTTAATTGCATAATTCACAAGTGCTGATTATGCATGCTCTTCGCATTCGCGGTTTTACATATAGCTCGCTAACTTGAGTTAGGCCAGGTGCCCCCGCACGGTCATACCATCAGCGTCGGAGCTCCGGCTGGTGGCCGCCAGGTAACTATCATTTAAGACGAACTTCCCCTCACTACACGTACCTACACATCGCTGACTGGTGTGTCATCAACCTCGACCCCCCCCAGATGCCCGCCCCGAAGAAATTCACCCCCGAGTATGTCCTTGCCGTGATCAAGTGTATATTGAGGAGCAATATTGCTGACTCTTTCGGAACTACCCAACAGACTGCTAGTCACCGCTCCAAGAATTTCGGAAGCAGTCCCGAATAATGACGGAAAATTCGCGCTCTACACCGTTTCGACCTATGATCTCGCAACACACACCAGCCTTACAGACGTCAAAATACTTGAGCTGGGGACAGGAAAGTCGACTCGATACAGCAACAACTCCAAGGAAAGTTCGTTCCGTTGGCTGCGGGGATCGTCCCTACTGTGGGAGCGGGAGGGCGAGAAGAACAAGGAGACTGAGCTATGGATTGGCGATGCTGACAGCACTATACGGTACGGCTCAAATCTATCCGATCGAGTGAGTCATTAAGACAGCAGAGTACTGACCGTGGTGTCGTCACCATTAGGCCCTATCTCGCCGGTACCATCAACGCGAAGTTGAACGACGTCAGAACTAAAGTCTTGGATAACGGGGACATTGCCTTTGTCTTCACTGCGCCGGCGGATGCCGATCAGAACTTATATAACACGGCAAAGACCGAGAAACCATCGACAACTGCTCGCGAATGGGCGCATGGTCGTCCCAGAAGCTGGGATACCTATGTCGACCAGTATCGCTCGGTCATTTGGTTCACGGTGCTGAAACTTGATAGCGAGACCAATAAATGGCACCTGTCGCCGGCTGGCCCAATAAATGCGCTGCGAGACACCGGGCTGGCGGTGCCCCTCTATGCCGACTCGTCCAGCTCCGCGGAGATGAGCATCTCGACATATGGGATTCTCTTCGCCACAAGCGAACCCGGAAACACAGAATGGATCGAAACGCAGCGGTCGCTGTATTTTATCCCATTGTCGACGTTCCAGGAGACTGAACTGCCGCCCCTAAGAAAGATTCGTGTTCCAGGTCATGCCAACGTGGCTTCGACCCCAACCTTCGCGCCCAAAGGCCCCCTTGCTGCGTTTCTTGTGGACCAAAACCGCGAGGAGTGGTCGCATAAAACAATAGGTCTTGTGGATGTCGACACTATGAGCATTGTCTTCCTTTTGCGGACGGTCGATCTCACGGAGAGTCAGTGGGACGTCTTCCCGGACGCGATTTTGTGGGCTAACGATGGCACCAACTTGTATCTGACTGCCAACTCCCAAGCTCGGGCTCGGGTGTACCAGGTGCGTATTCCTCCATTTTCCCTGGAGAAGCATCAAACCGTCATCCCCAAGGAGCTAAGCATCTCCGGCTCGGTTTCCGCACTGTATCGTCTTAGCGAACACGACACCGAGACCCGCCTACTGGCCACGTCTTCGTCGTTCATCGATCAGGGACTTTTCTCAATCGTCACGCCCCTGACCAGCGGCGATGACCAATCCGAGAACAGCCAGATCATCTACACTTCCTCCAACCACGGCGACTACTTCGGTATCTCCTCTAAGCAAGTCGAATCCATCACCTACCACGGCGGACCCGACGGCGAGACCCCCGTGCAATGTTGGATCCTGAAGCCCTCCGACTACGACCCGACCTCCGCCACCAAGCACCCGTTGTTCATCCTCATGCACGGCGGTCCCAGCTCTGCCATGAAAGATGCATGGACTTGGCGGTGGAATGCGGCCCTCGTGGCAGAACAGGGGTACATTGTCGCGATCCCCAACTTCACAGGCTCGGATTCTTTCGGGCGGGAATTCACGCGCGCGGTCTCGCGCCAATGGGGCGGCCACCCCTACCACGATATCGAGCGCTGCTTCCGCTGGGTTGAAGACAACCTGTCCACCAAATGCGACACCGACCGGGCTGTGGCCGCTGGCGCCAGCTACGGCGGCTACATGGCCCTGTGGGTGGCGGGCCAGCCGCTGGCCAAGAGGCTCAAGGCAATTGTATGCCACGATGGGGTCTTCGATGTGGTCGCTGAGCTGCTTGGTGACGATCTAGCGCAGAAGGAGGAGCTTACCCGCTCTTTCGGGTCGCCGTACTTTACTGATGCGCCCTCGGCGGATAGAGACCCACCCAGCGCGAAGGAGCTTTGGCGGAAGTGGAACCCCGTCGAGTATCTCACGAATTGGTCGACGCCCATGCTCATTATCCATTCTGATAAGGATTTCCGGTGCCCCAGTACAGCGGGGTGGGCGGCGTATGCCGCGTGCCGGTTGAAGGGGATCGAGACGCGGCTGCTGAATTTCCCGGATGAGAATCATTTTGTTCTCGGTCGGGAGAATAGTCTGGTCTGGTGGAATACTGTCATTGCGTGGTGCAACAAGTTCGTGGGGATTTCAGGTGGACCGAAGCTGGATCCGGCGCGTAGTGAGCCCCGGTGGCTGGGAGAATCAGAGACGGGGAGGATTGTCGATGTCTAGAGCGTATAAGTTAAAGAATGAAAGAGATATCATACCAATCTACGCAGACTTCTAGCAAGCCATGATGACTGTTGCGATACCTGTACAGTGACTGCTTCATAATTAGGTAGGCACCCGGGGGAGGGGGGCTGGGCTGGGGCATCGACACTAATGAGAAGTTGAATGCCCCCGTATAGTTGGCTTTCCCGATAGTGTATGCGTGAGGGGAGTGGCTTTGAAACCGAGAGCCGGAAAGGAAGGAAGCTCTCCGAGTTCTCAACGGTGTTGATGGTGCTATGTGGATCAAGTGGTGGTGGTGGTGACTCGGGAGGGGAATGAGGCTGGCTCCGAGATTTCCCTGCCATGTAACTCCCGTCCCAGTAAGGCTACCTTTGCGGCGACGATACAGTTCTTCCGGATACCGAAGTCACTACCTACACTCTTCGATTGTTTCAGCAACCCCGGGATGAAACAACACTAAGCCAATCCTGGCACGGACCTGGAAGATAGTTGAGCCGTGTATTGTAAGGCATATGACACCTTCGTCATATAACAATTGCCTGTAATCATGGACATCTTTTTATACACGTGTTATCTACTATCAGTTCTAGGAGAATCGCAAACGCCGGTCAACTACTGATGGCAGCCGAATCACAAGAATGGCCTCCAATCTAGCTTAATCAACGCTTGATCTTATCCACGACATGTTGATCAATAGAGACCTTAGTGCTTCTTACATAGCCGAGACGGCTGGTTGCAGTAAACGCGTAATCTTCCGACTGCGATCCAACCTTCAACTCTTCGGCAGTTTTAAAGTCCCCCAAATCAAAGGCGGCATACCCCGAGAAACCGCTACGGTGATGCTAGAAGTTCTATGTGACTACCCTCTAGAGAAGCCTTATTCGTATCTACACAAGATGGTCCTGTTTCTGCTCGACAAGTTCGACATGGATATACCGAAATCTACTATAATTAATGCGCTTTTTAAGCATGGATGATCGAAGAATTCCACCCGGCGGCAGGCTGAAGAACAAAGATTCAATTTACGAAGATGTATGTTGTACAGTATTATTATTCGATGTCCGATTTCTTTTATTCCACTCATTTATGTTGATAAATCTGGGAACGGTAAACAAATAGGCTTTTGAAGAAATAGATGTTCTCGAAGTGGTATGGCTCCAAGTATGAATATTCTTGTCATCAAGCTGCGTCTGCCCAGCAATCTGTCAGGCTGCATCCATTGGTCAACAATAATGAAGTTCTCTCTTCAACTAACCTGCCCACCGTCCTCTCGGATGATATTTGCAAGCCCTCATGTCTTACACTGTTTGTAAAAGGTCAAAAGTCGTTGAGGATTTTATCAAGCGTTGGCAGCGGGGAAAGAAAGGCTTGAGAAGCTGGGTAATCAATCAACTTATGAAGAGATGCTAGAGAATTGCGTCCTGTAGCATGCATAAAACGTCCATTGCTTACCCTCTGCGCGCTGAGATCACATGATAATGAGGCCGAAAACTACCCCTCTTTTTAGCTCAAAGAACCATCTCTATCTTACTTGCACTAAACATTTACGTTCTCCTCTCCTGTCCTCAACAATTCCTTTCTGATAGGAACAGCCACTTTTTACACCCCTTATCTACTGACTGTCCAGCTTGCCGAAATCTCTCTGCTGAGACCTCTTGCTCGATAATCGAGCGAATAGTTGGTTCGACTCCCGAGTCCAACCCACATATTCAAATATCCTGCCCCCTCGGACTGTTCTTTATCTAAGATGGCTGAGATTCTTCAAGGGCAATCAGCATCAGAAGAAAAGGAAAGTAGTCCCGAAAAACCACCATGCCTAAAGCGACTCGTCCACAATGCTTATACTATCGGATGGGTGTGCGCCCTTCCAAAGGAACAAACCGCAGCGAGAGCTATGCTAGACGAAGAGCACGAACCTCTTCCGACCCCTCGAAATGATCATAATGTGTATACGCTTGGCTCAATCTGCAAACACAACATTGTTATTGCTTGCCTACCGAATATGGGAACCAATTCTGCTGCGACTACCGCGACCTCTATAATAAACACGTTCCCATCAATCAGATTCGGGCTTATGGTAGGAATTGGCGGCGGAATTCCGATGAAGGTTTATCTAGGCGACGTAGTAGTCAGCCAACCTGTTGCTGATTACCACGGGGTAGTACAATGGGATATGGGAAAGCTGGAACGAGATGGGCAGTTCGTTCATACGGGCTCACTGAACAGACCTCCTAATACGCTGCTCAATGCGTCGAATCAGCTAAAAGTGAATCATGAGATGTATGGATCAAAGATAAATGAGTATCTGCACAATGTGGAAACAAGATTTCCACGTCTGGCGCCAAAATATACCAGGCGTGAGTACTTGGACGACCCAATGTTGGCCTCCGGAAAAGTGGATCAAACTCCGACTAAAGTTTATCTCCTGTTGAGATTTTGGCACATGATCATCGCATCCATCACATTTTTTTTTGGCTTGTGGGCTGTTATTCCGGTTCAGGAGAATGAGCAAGCATCGGAGCCGACAGGATCAGCAAGAACCCGGAGAGAAGTGAAAATACACCATGGCCTCATCGTATCCGGAAATAAATTGATCAAGGATTCCCAGTTCCGAGACTCCCTCGACAAAGCATTTGGTGGGCATGTGCTATGTGTGGAGATGGAGGCAGCTGGGCTCATGAATAACTTTCCCTGCATTGTTATTCGAGGCATTTGTGACTATGCAGACTCCGGGAAAGAAAAGAGCTGGCAAGAGTACGCGGCAGCCGTGGCCGCAGCTTATGCGAAGGAACTACTAGAATGTGTACATCCTAGTATGATCGATACCGAGGAAGCTGCAAAGAATATATTGGAAAAGGGTTAGTACTTTATTCAAAGCTCTAATACGTCTTGACCTTTCTTTGTGTTCGTTGTACTCAGGCTTCAGTTCCTATTCGGACATTTACTGATAGTTGTAGTGGAGAGGTACACACAGGAGACACGCGACACACTTAGGTAATACTGAATATAAGATTAACAAGAAAAGCACAACTGATATTAAAAGTATACTTCAGTCTCAATTCGAGCAAACCATCGGATGGGAGAATCTGAGGATTGTCCAAGGTGCTTTATTTGATTCTTATGATAACGAGCATGAAGAATGTCTCAAAGGAACTCGGACCAACCTACTTGATGAGGTCGAAACTTGGATCAAATCAAAAGATAGGAAGTGTATCTTCTGGTTGAACGGTATGGCCGGAACTGGAAAATCTACTATTGCTCAAACAATTGCAAGAAAGCTTGATAAAAGAGGAGAGCTTAGTGCCACCTTCTTTTTCAAGCGAGGCGAAGCTGACCGTGGTAACGCAAAATACTTTGTATCAACTCTTGCGGGACAACTAATCATAAAGCACCAAGAACTAGCATCACATGTCTTCACTGCTATTAAGAGAGACTCAAATCTTGTGTTCAAATCTCTTGATATACAGTTTGAGAAACTTCTCTATCAACCACTTGAGAGGCTGTGCTTGACTCAATCTACAACAGTTGTGATTATTATTGACGCCTTAGACGAATGTGACCGAGACCCGGATCTACAACTTATTATTCACTGTCTTTTCAAGATCCAAGAAATCAAATCTCTTCGTTTTCGAGTATTCTTGACCAGCCGACCTGAACTACCGATTCGCTGTGGCTTCAACAATCGCCAGGATTATTGTGATCTGATCCTTCACAAGCTTCCTGAGCCTGTGATTGAACATGATATTCGCGTCTTCCTCGATTACAAACTCTCGAAGATACAGCATGATCGCTCTCTTCCACCGAACTGGCCGGGAACTGAGAAGAAAGAAAAGCTAGTGCAGATGGCTATTCCTCTATTTATCTTCGCAGCTACACTTTGTCGATTTATCGGGGATATAGACTGGCTTCCCGATAGCCGTCTCACCGCTGTTCTTAATGATGAAGCGGCAGCAGCAGCATCCGACATGGATAGAACATACATTCCTGTATTGAATCAACTTCTTATCTCGAAGAATAAGAGAGATACCAGACACCTCTTACAAGAGTTTCACGATATCATCGGAGTGATTACTCTACTCGCTACTCCTCTTTCGGTGAGGACTCTGGCGCAGTTGATTTCAGTCTCAGAGGATATTATCAGCAATCGACTAAATAGATTCCATGCAGTTCTTCATGTGCCCGACAACCTCGAAGTACCAGTCCGAATCTTGCATTTATCATTCCGAGATTTTCTGGTTAGCACAGAGACCAGATTTCGAATCCAGGAGCAGGAGACACACGCGAGAATAGTATCACATTGTTTCCGGCTTATGAAAGCCCAGGTCAAACAGAATATTTGCAAGTTGAAGAGTTACGGGACACAACAAGAGAATATTGAGCCTCGGTGTGTTAACAAATATATCACAGCTGATCTGAAATACGCCTGTTGCTATTGGGTTCATCATCTGGAACAGAGCAAGGGTCTGATTTCTGATTCTGATATTCTGTCTTTTCTCCGGGAGCACATCCTTCACTGGTTGGAGGCACTGGCTCTTGTAGGGGAGATATCGGAAGCAGTAAGACTAATAAGGACTTTACAATCAAGAATATGGGTAAGCTTTCTACATTCTTCTGTTTTGTGAAGGGTTAGCTAACAATCCTTCTAGAAATCTATGAACACTGAGTTATCAGACTTTCTGTATGATGCAGATAGATTTGTTCGTCAGAACAGTTATATGGCAGGAATTGCCCCACTGCAACTTTATCGTGCTGGACTTGTATTTGCACCGAACAGGAGTATTATCAAGAAAGCTTTCCACAGCAAAGTTATAGGGCAACAAATACAGCTTACAGGGGTGAAAGAATCTTGGAGTCCTAATCTACAGACATTTGAAGGCCATTCCCTCACTGTCAACTCGGTGGCCTTCTCGCCGGACGGGCGCACGCTGGCGTCGGGCTCGA